AGGAGGGACCGGACGGCGGGACCAGTCCTGGGACTTGCTGGCTCAGCCCAAGTGTCCCTGTCTGGGAGGGACACCAGCCCTGCGGAGGATGTTAACCCTTTGGGGACCCGCCACCTCCCGTCCACCTCGTCTGGGGCCACGCAGGGGTTCGGTGGCTGTGGGCGAGGAGATGCTGGGGCAGCCCGGAGAGGACCGACGCAGCCCCTCGATGCCTGCCTGTAGCCAAGCCTGGGAGACGGCCAGGCTCGAGTCTGCGAGGAATTCCTCACGGCGAGTTCTGGGAATTTACGTCTTTGTTCTTTCTGTGGTTTCTGCTTTTCCCCCCCCCCCCACACTTTTTTTTTTTCATCGCTGGGTGGCCAGGGCTGGGCTCTCTCCCCTAATCTTATAAAGCCAACTCTGGGTCCAGGCAGAGCTGGGAAGAATAATCACATTTACTGACAAAGAACCACCAGTTTGGAGACACCACTTTTTCCTGGACACATCTGGGTCTCTGCTGGTGTCTGACCACAGATCCCATTCTCACCCTTCCCATTTTTTAATTCCATCCAACAGCAATCAGACCTTCCTCGTGCTGGTAACAGCACAATGATTTCAAAGTGAACTTAAAAGAAATACAGGTGGTGCCCGAAATGGATAGCTGCAGTCAACAGGGCACATGTGTCTAACAAGCTTCTGATTCACTGAGAATGATGAAGATAAAATTAACTTTGAATCAATGGAAAACATGCTGCTCTGGGTTTTTTGAAACCATCTGCGGTCTGAAAGGTCACTGCGCTGTGACTTGCAAGGGACTGAGGACAGTGACAGGACAAGAGGCAACAGGCACAAACCAAAGCACATGAAATTCCATCCCAACACAAGAAAACACTTCTTTGCTGTGAGGGTGCTCATACGCTGGTACAGGTTGCCCAGAAAGGTGATGGAGTCTCCATTAGTGGAGATACTGAAAACCCAACTGGCCATGGCCCTGGACAACCTGCTCCAGCTGACCTGCTTGAGCAGGGCGTTGGACTGGATGACCTGGAGAGGTCCCTTCCCACCTAAACAATCTGTGCCAGCTTTGGTTGGACTCCCCACCTCACCTTTTGCCGCCTTCGTTCTGCGGGGAGATCCTGGAGGCCACCACGTGCTCCTGTTGCTGCAGATAGGCCTCGCTGGGGGTGCGGCGCAGGTCCAGCACGGGGCACGTGGCCCCGGGGAAGGAGTACACCGGGGCCTGGATGTGGGAGTTGAGCTGCTGCGGGTGATGGCGCGTGTAGTCCTGCGTGATGACCTCCTAGAAGAAGAAAGCCCTGAGTCAGAAATAAGAGTTGGTTTCTGCATCTTGTTTTGCTGGGCTCACCAAGGCAGGGCGAGCAGGAGGGAATTGGGCTGGTTTGTCCCTGCAGGGATGTAACTTCTGCCTCCTGCCTGCAGCAGCTCTCGCGATGGGCTTGCTGGGGACGCAAACACCTGGACTGAATATACCTGATGCACCCTGCTCCCTCCAGCCCCCAGCCAGAGGTGCCAAGGTCTCTAGCATCACTCCCCGCCCCTCCCCACCAGACATGCTTTGTATCAGCTCTTCCCTCCTCCCCAGAGTCCCGGCGGGAAGGCAAGAACGAGGTGACTTACACTGATGTGCTGGGCCAGCGTGACCACCCGCTGGTTCATGCCCTTGATGCTCTGGCTGGACTGGAGGGGCTGGCACTGGGGCTGGGGGCCGTCGGGCTGCCGGAGGTGCTGCAGGTGGGCTGCTTCGGGAGCCGAGGCCTTCAGCGAGCCTGGGGGAGGCACGAAGGGGAGAGCAGACGTGAGACGACGGCTCCGTCCCCTGCCTCGAACGCCGGCCTGGCCTGGCACCAGCGAGTGGGAGCTGGGTGAGGAAGCCCTCCCATGCCAGCTCGGGCTCTCCCGCGCTGCCGGCACTGCCAGCCCCTGCCCTCACCTTGCTGCTTCTGTCTCAGGTCATGCTCGCCGTGCCCCTTCTCCGCATCCTGCAGCATCTTGGCCCCTTTCTCATGGGACAGGCTGGGCGAGCTCACGGGACTCACCGCTTCCATCCGCTCAGGGCTGTAGCCTCCATGAAAGCCTGGGGAGATGGGAGAAGGGAGTTAAAACCAGGAGCTCGCTTGGCTCTTCTCTAGGGCTGTGGCAACCATCTCTTGTGGGTAGTCACACGTTCAGCAAAATGAGGAAAAGGAGGTGAGGGAAGACCCGGCAGGTGACATTGCAGGGACCCCCCAGAGCCACCTCTGACATCCCGTTGTGGTGATGGCTGCAGTAAAGAGGCGATGTCTCATTCCTGCAGAGCTGGACACAGCCGCTCGCGGTGACAGCATGAGAGTCAGGAACCAAACTCAAGCCCTGCGGTTTCACAACCTGTTCCCCCCCTTTCCCCCACCTCCTGAAACAGAAAATTTAAAACTCCACTATGCCAGGGAAGAAGGCAACGCTCTGCAGCCATGGAGGTGGTGGCATGGGAGATCTCCAGTGCTTTACAAAGAAAAGCCCCAAGCCCAGCATGGCCAACAGCAGGGACTTGAAAATCGGGCGCGAGGCCCTGCAGACTCCAGATCCTGCTCCGAAGACAGTGGACTCGCACACTGCAGGGGCAAAAAGGCTTCTTGACCTTTCTCTGCCTTTTAAGCCCTTTGAATGGACGCAAGCTGCATCAAAGCAGGCAGAGCTGGAATGAGGGACCACCATTATCCTTTGACAGAGAGGGGAAACTGAGGCACGGACGGATTATGCTTCTCCAGACCGGGGTGGAGGACAGAGGAGTCCTCAGCAGGCAGACACTGCCTCTCACCAGCTAAGCACGGTTGGTAACGCTCCCGACTTTTGCCTCCACAGCCCTTTACCCTCCTAACGCTCAATTCCTAGAAACCGCCCGCTGCAGGCAGATCTGGCAGGCGACCCGCAGATCTGCTGCCGGAGGGTCCCCGGTGTCCCGGCATGGACACACTGCCCTCGCACGTACCTGGGGCACGGAGAGGACAGGACCCGCATGGAGAACCTCCCATGCAGCATCCCCCATCACCCCATGCACCACCCGGATGCCAGCACCGCAGGGACCATGCTTTGGATCTACCCAGTGAAGTGTCCTGTTCTGGAAAGATCCTTAACCAACGGTGAAGTTCTGGGGAACACCAGCTCCTTTCTGCAAGCTCAGGGCCACAGAAAAGCTGTCCCTCTCCTCCGGAGCATGACAATGCTCGGCTGGAAGAAACACCAGCACCAGGGAAAAAGGCAGAGGGCGAGCTCAGCCAGGCAGTGCACTGCGGCCAGAGACACATCCTCGGTGCACGCTGCTACAGGGGGCCAGGACCAGACATGACCAAGTGGTGGGATGGGTGGGTTGGGATGTGCCACCGAGAGCGGCAGCTCTCCTCCCCGGCTACGATGCTGTGTGCTTTCCACCCTTGGGTTACAGGAAGGGGAGCTGGGTGGCAACCTCCAGCGCTGATGGCCAAGTCAGATGCTTCAACTTGAAGATGGTAATGGCTTTAAACTAAGGGAGGGCAGATTTAGACTGGATATAAGGAAGAAACTTTTTACCGTGAGGGTGGTGAAACACTGGAATGGGTCACCCAGAGAGATGGTGGAGGCCCCATCCCTAGAAAAGGGTCAGGCTGGACGGGGCTCTCAGCAACCTGATCCAGCTGAAGATGTCTCTGCTCACTCCAAGCGGGCTGGGTTAGATGACCTCTAAAGGTCCCTTCCAACCCAAACTCTTCTATGATTCTACGATGGGGTCCCATCAAATCCCCACGGGCTGCCTGCTGCTTTTGTATGCTGGTGCGAGCTTGGATGAATGCTCTAGGTGAAGACTGGTCCTATCGAGAAGGATCTAGATCTTGAATACAGACCCTGCACTTCCTTCTGGAGAAACCTCACCCAGTGCTTGTGTGTCCTACACAAGATTGCTGGTTCCTGCGGTCTGCTCTGGAAATAGCTGCTGAGCATGGCTGAGCCATGCTTGGACAGCCCTGCCCGCACTGCCCTCTTGTGCAGCATCCAGCACCAGGTCCCTGAGCGAGGTCACCCCAAGCAAGGGGACCCCATCTGAGCTGCACCATGCAGCAGCTCGCAAAGCCCTCCGAGACCCCGCAGCTCAACGGTACAACCATGAGCGGGGAGGCGCGTGTCTGACGGCCAGCAGCCCTGTCCCACTCACGCTGCCAGTTCTCTGCTTCGCTCCTTTGGTTTCTGACCCACAACTGCTCCTTACAGACTGCCTGGGAATTTCTAACGATGGGGAAATCAGAATTAGCAAATTGCTATTGTCTGTAAAAAGCAACACCAGAAACTGAACAACGTTTGCAAAACAGGACTTGGCAACGGGAAAAACTAAATGAGGGTGGGAGAAGGGAAGATCCCTAAAACCCATACAAATAAAAGAGCCTGGAGTCACACGACAACCGGGAAGGAGAGGGACAAGCACACTGGGGGAGCTGACGAAGCCAGCAGCCAAAACGTGCAACTAAAAATAAGAAACAGTGAAATAAAATGGGTTTCAGGCCACAGCTCTCTCGCCTCTCCCCTCCAATTTCTTACCATCGCTAGTGGAGTCGTTACTTAGCGAGCCTCTTTCTCGCTGCCCCTTATCGCAAGACATTTGGCGCATGATAATCACACCTATGAAGTTGGCCGCTGTCGTGGTGGTCTTACCGAGTGCTCGGAGCTCCTGTTCCTGCATTGAAAAGGGTTTACTTTGACTCTTTTCTCTGCTGTGCTGCTCGGGGCCCGAGGCTGCGTGCTGCTGGTCCAGAGGGTGATGGTGCTGTTGGCTTTTCCCCTGTCCTCTGCTATAGTGATGAGAAGAACCAGGTCCGGAGGCAGGTAAAGGTCTCGACTCCATGGCTTTAATGGGTGAAGGTGACTGTTCGAGGTTGGCCCCACTGGGCAGCTTTGAGGTGAAGACGTTGTTGTCAGTCTGGGGTCGTTCTGCCTTGGCTTCCCGTGCCCTCGAGGCCTCTTTCTGCAGGACGGCCGGGTCCATCAGCGCTGCGTAGCCGTCTGCCGCGCTGATGGAGGAGCGCAGGGTGGAGGCCGAGGGGAAGGCGGCGGAGCGGATCGGTGATGTGGTCGTGGTGGAGGAGGATCTGGAAGGCAAACAAAGACAAGGCGCAGATGAGAGAGGCACGTGGAGAAAGGGGAGTGCTGTTACCAGAGCCCCAGCGTTCAGCTCTGCCTGGCCAATGACTCCTGAGCACAGGGTTGGCCCATGCTGGTGCAGGTGAGGAGGGCTTGGATGGAGCCTCCGCCACAGTAACTGGCCACGGGGTATTGGCTGTGGCCTGCATGAATCGACTGGGGAGAACAAGACCCATGGGATGGGTCCCAGAGACCTTCACAAATCCCCTACCACGTAGCCTTCAGGAAGAGGAGCGATACCCTCTTGCCCAGGCGATTTGAGCACAGAGAGCCCTGGGATGCTCCTGCTTTCTCTCCTCCTAGCAGTAAAAACCACAACGAAAAGCAAAGGAACTGGCACCTTCATCTGCCTCTCCCCACCACAACTTCTCTGTAAGCCCCAATCCTGCTGCTGCTGAGACTGAAGGTCAAACCAACGCTCGCTCCATCTCAGAGGTGCCCCATGTGATGCTTATTAATTAAATCCATTAATTAATTAATTAAAACCACGGCTGCCCCGGTGCAGGGGTCCAGGCAAGCAGCAGGAACCGTGACGGGGAGACATACCGCAGGACGGAAGGGGTGGGGGTCTCCGAGGAGATGATCTTCATGCTCGTGTTGTGGAGCACGCTGGGGCGCTGCTGGATGGTCTCGTGGGTGCGGGGCGAGACAGGAGAGTGCTGGTGGCTGTGAGAGTGTGAGGACGAACGGCTGCTTGACTGCTCTGTACCTGGAGGAAAATACAAAGAAGGGCTTCTTCAGCTCTTTGTTTTATAGCCCCAACCCTACCTGCACCCAGCAAGGGCCCCAGGATATGGCGCCGGTCTCCTGCCCAACCTACCTGGTCTCCAGATGGGTGCATGTTCCACCGTGGTGGAGGCCAGGATGGATTTTTCACGTTCCCTCTCCCGTTCCCGCTCCCGTTCCCGCTCGGACACCGATGATCCCGACTGTTTGGTCATGTGCGTGGGGCCTCCTGAAACGCAACCAGAAGGCAGTGAAAGGGCAGCAGACAGAGCGACTCCCCGCGGGGAACACCGCCTGCTCTTCACGTCGCTGTGTGTGCAGAGCAGACAAGGAACGGCTCCATCCAAGGTCACCTGGAGTAGGACAGATGGGGGCAACCGGTGTGACAAAACCCGGGCAAATCACACATCTGTCCTGGCACTGTCTCCAGCACATGACCTTCCACAAAGCTGTTCCCCAGCTGCCACTTTGGGGAAGAAGTGGGAAAAGCAAGGAAGCCCCCAACAACAAGGATCGGAGGGGCTGGTTTGAGGGAGCCGGTGGGCTGGTCCTTGAGTGGGAACGAATTTGGGCTCCCCCCATCTGCCCCGGCATGCTGAGCCCACAGCCCTGAACTGCTCAAGGGCATCCATTATGGGGCCAAGCTCTTTTCAGTGGTGCCCAGTGACAGAACAAGGGGCAACAGGCACAAACTGAAGCAGAGGAAGTTCCGTCTGAACATGAGGAAGAACTTCTTCCCTCTGAGGGTGACGGAGCCCTGGCCCAGGCTGCCCGGGGAGGTTGTGGAGTCTCTTTCTCTGGAGATATCCCAGCCCCGCCTGGACAAGGTCCTCTACAGCCTGCTGTAGGTGACCCTGCTTTGGCAGGGGGTTGGGCTGGGTGACCCACAGAGGTCTCTTCCAACCCCTACCATTCTGTGATCCTGCCCAACGGCTTTCCCATGGGAAAAGCAACCCACAGCATTACCTGGGGAGAGCGGGGAGCTGCTGTGCCGGCTGCTGAAGGTCTGCGGGGGCCCGGGGATGTAGGTGATGCGGTCCATGGTGGTGGCAGAGGTGCCAGGGGTAGGGGGCACGAGGACGGGCAGGTGTGGCACTTGGGACAGGTCAATGATGCCTGGAGAGAGAAGCGAGAGGATTGTCAAATGACACCGAGCTGCTGCAGCTTGGCTGTGCCGAAGCGGGCAGCGACGCTGGGGAGGGCTGACCCGTCCCGCTGCCCTGGCACAGCTCAGGCGGTGCCAGCACGTGCATGGCCCCCAAGCACTGACTGTCAGGGGAGGGGACCCTTCTGCAGGCAAATACAGCGTGTCCTGCATATGCCTATAAATATCTGCAGGGTGGGTGTCAGGAGGATGGGGCCAGACTCTTTCCAGTGGTGCCCAGCGACAGGACAAGGGGCAACGGGCACAAACTGAAGCAGAGGAAGTTCCAGCTGAAGATGAGGAAGAACTTCTTCACTCTGA